GTTTCCAGCCTTGATTATCTGTTTGTGTGCCTCACTTCAGCTTCTGTCACATTAGTACAATGTTGGTATAACCATGGCCGTGTCAAGTCGAAGTATTCACTTGATACCTGCCGTTATTAACCCTCGGCTGTTTGGGTAATTGTCTGTCTTTTTGTCTGCAGTCTCTCTGTTACTGCTATTGTGGCACTACAGGCTATGAGACGACAAAAGAGTGATACTATTGCCTAAAGCGAGATTTTCCGGAAACAACTGTGTCTAATATTGATAGCATAATGCACGAAAAGCCAATTAGCAATCTCAGTGTTTTCCAGTGCAACACACCATTAGTTGCATGAAAGTCACTCTGAAGACGATTGTCTAATCTAGTGTTGCTCGAAATGCTACTCACTGATGCTGCTTAGCTTGTTAGAGCGAGAAAGGAACTGTGTGTGCTTCGGAGACCTTCTTCAGGGAGATCCAAATAATGGGCAAAAATAATAATAGGGGGAGCAAGTATAAACACCATTGTAAAGTTTAATTATCGGCTATTGTCAAGGGGACAGAGTCAGATGGATGGTTTAATAAATTTAGGTGGTCGGAAGCCGGAACATTCTAGTAGCAAATCTATGGCGGTTGGCTCATCCCGTCCCCTCCCCCCCCACATGTAGCTCCGACCCCATCCCCAGTCTGTCCTTGTTACCTGCGTGTGTGTCATGTATACCAGCCGATGGTTTGCCACTGTTTTCGGTGGCTGTGACTAAGTGAACGGAATCGTGTCCTGTGAGTGTATAACACCCAGCATTGCATGCCCAGCCTTCAAGTACAATAAACGACACTTTTTTACGCATGCATAGTGCATAACATTGCAGCTACATGTGGAGTATTTATCTTGCACTGGGTGCTTGCACTTTTTTAATTTTCTCCCGGACAATGATGGTGAGACAGGTGCACTACGGTAGTAGGGATAAACTTGTGCTATGTACATGATTGATTCTCTTCAGCCTGCTTAGAATGGTGTAATATTAATACCTTACAGCTAAGTGTCGCATCGTTGTTATATAGTCAACTCCCTTTTAAGGACTTTGTTTGATTTCAAAAACGGAAGGTTAAAACATTAATTATTCTCTCCTGCAGATGCAAGTTTTACAATGGCCAATGTCCTGTCAATGACAGAAGGTGTACAGGATCATGAGGGTCTCGGAGTGCTGCTGGGAATTCGTGACCCACAAACCAAGTTTCACAAAATTAGACAGTTGCATAAGAGCATAAAAGAGCAAAAAGAAGCCATACTTCACCTGTGGTACACAACACATCCTCTTGCATCGTGGAGTCTACTGCATCAGGCCCTCAATATGATAGGAGACATCAAAGCAGCCAAGGCTGTACAAGAGAAGTTCCTAGGAGGTGTGTTATTAACTCTCGGCGTGCATGTGCAGCGAGGGTTGCAGCATTTGGTCTGTGTGTCAGGATGTTTGTTAGTCTTTTCTGCACCAGTGTGCAACAAACAAGCCAAGAAGCGATTCTAGACTACATTTGTAAAACCGGCTATTTTCATTAAAGTAGTGTTTTATGGTTCGAAAAGTAGGTGAATAGGCCAATATGCATATTACCATTTGCTTACCTTGACTAGATTTCCCCATGTTATGCACCGTGGAGGCATCAAAAGTTACGATGGACGATGAGTATTAGTACCGCAATGCCTAAAACGCTATCACCTGTCAGACTCTCAACGAGCTAGGAAGAAACCATGCATGAATCAACAGCATGCCCCAGTCAATCAATTAGCGACCCATGCATGCATATTGGTGTTTCAATGCGTATTATAGTAGTTTTCACATGCACATGATTTTAGTGCAGAGGGCTTGCCCTTTAGTTCTAAGTAACTGAGTATTTTGTAAACTTGCATAATATACAAATTTTGCTAAGGAACCATTTCTCTTAACTGCACAACATTTCAGCATAATAGGAACGAAAACATGAGATATTGTTTATAGTTCAATATGATATTTTCAATGTTGTTTTTACAGTTCAACTTGGGTAACAACATTGTCACTGTTGTATTTGATGGTGTAAACACTGTTGACTGCAGTAATATATATTCGGAGATGTTGTCAACTTCTTTGTTAGCCCCAGCACAGTGTTTCCATAAGTAAAAAGTCAGTTTCCGTGGTCATTTAGCTGAGAGCTGCTCAGGGCACACATAGTACCTCTGTAACATCTGACATCCATCCTTTGAGCATCCTTCGAGCATCTTCCAAGTGGTAAATTAACAGGTTATACACATCTGAGATTTGTAGGTATCTAATTGGGGACTCCAACAATTTGTGCAGAGTGTATTTCAGCAGGTTGTGGGTGTTCGTTGCTGCTTGCTGTGACTCCTATGTCATAGATAGCTAATATTTCAGAGTCCTCCCTGGCTTTAGAAATGAATTTCTTTGATCCATAGTCACGTACATGGAACTTCTTTAATAGGTAAGAAGATCCTACTGCCAAGCTGCCAATATCATCTTCCCATAAAGTGCATTTGGAAGATGTACTAGAATCGGCAATTATAACTTCTTGTATTTTTTTCCAGTGGGTACTGTGATAGGGTCTAGAACGTTTAGGACCTTTATATTCACTGACACCTTTTCATATTCATCTTTTGATTCAAAAGAATAGGTTTTTCTTCCAAATAAACAAAATCTGTTTAAAATTTCTTAGGAGAGGAAGTGATGGCAGTAGGAACCTTCAGCATTATTTCCATTCTTGGGCCACTTCTAGCCAATCATCTAGTAGAATTGGCTGTTGTTTATCCATAACCTTTGAACTTTTGCTTTGTTGTGACCTTTTGAGCCGAACAGTTGATTTTCCATCCGTTACAGTTCCTTCGAAGTAGTCGCTATTCCTGCCTTTCTTTACGGGAGATAGGGAGGAAACTACTGCATGAAGAGAGGCAGTACTAACTGTTTCCTCCAAACTCTCTACTTCTTCAGGTTCCAATTTGCGCTTTGTTGGTTTGGATGCCATTTTTACCACTGTAGTAGTAGCAAAGAATTCATAAAGTAGGTGAAATATATTAGTTCTTTGGGTATTGCAGGGTTCTTTGTTTTCTGAGTGGCATAGCCACAGTGAGTCGAAACTCGGTATGAATGCTGGGGTTTCATGTGTTCTTAGGCATTGCTACATGGTGTTGAGTAGGTACTACTTATGTTCTGGAGGGCTAAAATCTCTGAATGGAATAGTGCAGTAAACTGTGTCATGATCAGAATCTAGGACTTGAGCTCTGGCACTGGTAGATGGATTGAAGAATGGACTCCTCATTGGGTCTCATCAAGAGTACATGACAGAGAGAGAGTATGGAACTGCGTATACCTGCATACAAACACTGTGTACAAAGTCACGTGACATGCTATGTGATGCAAGCTTTGTCAAACACCCGTACTCAACTAGTATGTCATCGCTGAAATGTACGTGTTGTTTTATACAAAGTTGCATCACGTGCAGTCACTTAGTTGTACTCATGTGTTTGTATGCGGTATACACCACAGTTCCATACTCTCCTCTCTGTCATGTACTCCTTGTACTTAGACCTATGAGAGAGTCCATTCTTCAATCCATCTAGCAGTGCATACTCCTCTCTCTTCAGGTACTCTTCGTCTCATGAGATCGCACTACCTCATAGGCCCAGAAGAGCCTTCATGCAGAGCCTCAGCTGATTGCCCAGGGACATAGGTCTCATAAGTTTCTGATGTTTCTTATTGGTTGTTTGACTTAGTAGTACGATAGGCAGTATGCTGGTGTCAAAGAGGCTTAGCTCTGAGATGCTTGTGATAGAAATTGGCTGAAAAATATGCTGTTGTTGGGCTACTGCACTAGCTGTTGAAACTGAAAGTGGACATAACCTTCAAAATTGCAGTGTTTTGCTGATGAAAAATGTCCCATTAAAATCATCTAATATATTGTGTATGGAGGAGCTAAGTCTCTTCCAGTTGATCATGACTGGTGTATGGACCTACAGATGGGGGCTTATTGCCACATGCTGCATGAATCCTTAGTGTGATCACTATTAATATATTTTTCACTTTTGTACTCAACTGCGGATTGGCACTTGTCCTCGAATTGTCCAGGAGGAAAATTTAACGAATGTTTTGATCATTTCTTTGCTGTGTTGTGCTTCACACACATACATCTTAAAGATACACATACCTGGAGAGTCTTGCTGTTATGAGACACTGTACACAAGGGGTATGCACAATGCGAAACATTGTGACTGTAGCCTTTTGCAACCTGCTGTAAAGTTGCAGGTCAATAACTGTTCTGTGATATAAGTAATACAGCCCTATATTGTTGCAAAGCATGAGTGTGCTCCTCATATTTCCTAAGCAAGTGATGCCACAGGTGTTGCCCTCTCTGACAGCTCCTCAGTTTTGGTTGTGACTACATTGTGTGCAGTCTAAGACTTTCCTTTTCGCTCAAGTAACAATGCTGCATTCTTGGCTCTCCATTCACCATTGTCCTCACACTTTGAAAATTCATGTTGTGAGTAAAAGTGGCGACAATATAGCTAGGGTTTGTGTGGAGGAAAATGTACATGAGCGAGCATTTTCAGTTTTAAATATGTAGCCATCAACCATCACTACTGCATCACATACACCTCTGTCTTGTCTCCTTGTTTTTTCCCTATATTCACCATTTTCAAGCACCATTGCATTAATCGCTCCATTCCGCATCCAGTCGTATGCGCACGGTAGTCCCTAGAAGTCTGCAACCCCTGAACAGACTCTCTCCATACATTTCTATGGCATACCTCTGACTGCATGTGAGAGCAAAGCATAAAATCAACATAATGTGTACATAGGTTTGTTTAGTTGCTATTTCTGTGATGAACTCTGTGCAGTTGTTGGTGAGCCAAGCACACCTGTACTTAGTCGTCTAAATTCTCATGAATGAACAACGATGAGAAGGTCACTGTCTCACATACTGTGATATTTTATGTAGACCAATTTGAATAGCAATTTAACAGTTGTGTTCCATGTTCTTCAGTGATTTTTTTACCAGACTGATACAGCATGAAGATAGAGTAATGTTTTAATGTGGGCCTGTGAAGTGATAATGGTGTCTGATAAGAGATGGGTAGTTGACTGTGGTGTGTGTGTGTCCTCATTGACAGGAGATCATTTTTGGCATTCCTATGTACACACTGGTTTTCACTTTTTAGTGATGCCATAGCTTGTCTTGGCAATGTTATACCCATCTGGTTGGACCCTAAAGAACCTATTCATACAGATTTCCTTCCATGACTTCCAATATGTGTCAATATGTGGTGTTAGGTACAGCACTTACATGGTAACAGAAAGAGGCACTGTGATCTCTACAAAAAGGCCACCATAATCTGTTACAATCAGGACAACCAAACAATAGTATGTCCTGTTATGAACATGCTTGTTTTCTCTTGTATGAGGGTTTGTATGACTGCTCTCTCTTGATAAATCTTTGCACAATTATGTCACATTTGACTTTCTCCTGTATATCTCTCTGTCACACTTTCTCCTATACTCAGAATGGTGCTACTCCACTCTATGTGGCCTGTCAGAATGGACACAAGCAGACAGTTGACGTTCTGTTGAAGAATGGAGCAAATGTTAATCTGACCAGGACAGTGAGTTATATTGAGGCCATTTATTAACCCTTTGTGCACATGGACAATGAGGGTTATTGTACTATGTCTGGAGTGTGTGTATGTATCTCCTTCTCTCTGTTACCCCACAATGTGCAACACGGGGGCCACGAGTGACGCATGAGTACACAGCCCTATTATGTCGCCACCTTTACTCACTGACATTAGTAAATGGTATAAAGTGTGAGGACAATGGTGAAGGGATTCTATAGATGGCTAAAAACGCAGCATTGTAAAACTGGTTAGTTGAGTGAATGTAGAAGAGAAGTCTTAGACTTCACACAATGCAGTCACAACTGAAAGCCGAGGAGAGAGAATTACCTGTCTATTGTCCTTATGAAATAAATCATAGCTGTGCATCATACAAGGGAGGACACTCATACTTCGCGACAATATAGGGCTTGTGTGGAGGAAATTTTTACACGAGCAAGCGATGTCAGTTTGAAGTATGTAGCCATCATCCATTGTACTACTGCATCACATTCACCCTGTCATCCCTGTCATGTCTCGTTGCTTTCTATACCATCCCTATGTTCACCATTTCTTTAAGTCAAAGAATTTTTTATTTACTTGGTTTGGAATGTGGGACTAAAAGTGATACCAACAGATTTACCGCTACAGATGGCTAACTCCAATTAGCCATTGACCACGCACTGTTATGGTACAATAGCACGTAAACACTCGTTACAATGAGCTGTCTTGACTAGACTCTGCCGTATCATTCACCATGAAGCATCAGATGTTCCATGAAAGGTGAATATGGGCTCTGTGTTGCCTTTCAGTATTGGTCAGGTCCGCCAACAGAACAGGAAATGTGATTATCCACGTATTTTTTATTTCCAGCAGAAGACGTCTTTCGTCAGGGGTGCGTCTGCCTCATCCAAGCCAAGCTCCTTCACTACGGCCGGCACGTCTTTTTGATGACACGTACAAATTTCTATAGGAATGCTTTTTTGTAACCTGCCTGCGACAAACTTTGTTTGTTCTTAGACTAGAGCTAATTTTACTTCTCAGGCAGAATAGACGCTCTAAAATCACAAAAACTTGCATGCTAAGACTTGCACACTGACACCCACATGTACAGTAGATGTCTTCAGAATGTGAAGTAAGTTGGCTGTTGGTGTCCACGACATCTCTCCCACTTTTTGTGCGCGGTCGCTACCTCGCGGTCTGAATGGAAGAGCAGTACATGTTCTCCTCTCTCTCACAGCAGACACAGCCGTATGTCCCTCTGTGCAGTTGACAGAACTCTCTTCCATGTACAGATGATGGCCAGCAGCCTATACCTCGGGTGCAATCAACAGTCAACGCTTGTGTGTCAGAAAGCTACATGGCAGTGTGATTTAGGTCGTGACACACAGAGCACGGGGGAGAGGTAGAGTTGTACCCATCTCCCTCTGTTAAAGTCGGACCAGGATATGTACGGAGTAATGCTCAGGATAGTATGTTAGTATGATTGTAAGTGACCTAGACTCCGTCGACAGCAACACGCCGCCCATCCCGCTTGCGAAGGAGAAATTGAGTTGTGTGTGGGGCATTGTCAAGAGATCGTCCAACGGAATTCTCAACCTCCACACTGCCATCTATTCACACGTTGATGCACCGAACGGAAATTTACAAGGTTTCTGCGTGTGCCAGTAATTCTCGCGTAGCCTGCTAATCAATGTTCTCTTTTAATACATTTCTCTTGGTAATTCTATAGAGACTCCTTTGCTACGATACTAATAATAAAAATTATGTTGATTCAGCGTGCATAGCGTTACTTTTACTGAGCGACATCTGGGAGCCAGCACTACACGCCACAGCAATAACCTCAACCAATCAGAACCATCAACTCAGGCTTCAGCACGTTAGATGTTGTTCCTTGCTGTACAACCCTTGCCATAGCTTCCTTTAAAGTCTGTAATCATCATAGTTTGTGCATTCACACTGAAGAAGGTCTACACGACCGAAATGTGACAATAATTATCCTATTTCAAGTTAATGCTACACAAGCTGTCATATAATCGTTGTGTCTTTTGTCTTGTGCCCTACTCTGAAGTAGCCTCCGGTATCACTCTATAGCGAATACATGCTTACCGAGTACTAGACACGTACACCAATTTCCTTGTACCTACATCTGTATACGTCTGTTGCGGCTCATATCGTGCAGTACATTTGGTCTCTGTTTTTCCCCTCTCTCAATGATTAATGTCCTTCACTGTGTTTGTAAGTCAAGTGATCCTACTCTAGTTACCTGATTGCCGCACTTCGTATATGTATGTATACAGACATAGTGCCGACCCTATTGTGACTGTCCAACGTAATTCATAAACTCAGCAGCATGCACTAATTCACACATGCACCAAACTGACATTTTACAGGTTTTCTCTGCGTGTGCCAGTAACTCTAGCGTTGGCTTGCTAAATAATGTCTCTTTAAGTTCGATCTGTGGAGGGTGAACAGTGCCAAAAGTAGCTTTCTTAAAATTCTTACCTTTCTTTAATGTAAAATGTGATTTGTATCTCCAAAAGATCATTTAACCAAATACTCGTTGTGCGTGACTGGTTTACTCCATGATTCCGTTTGGACTGAGACTTTTTTTTTGTGAAGGTTGAGTCTCTCACATCTCCTCTGGGTAGCTGCTTGGAAAAGGTCACACAGAATTGTGGAGAACACTGATATCAGCTGAGCTGTCATCAACTACCAAACAGGTATGAGAACTGCAGCATGTTAGAGAACCTCTATTCTCTCTTCTGCATTCCAAAGATAAACATCTGCCCCTTTAAAACTGGGGTCAACGTCACTTCATAGTTTTGTGTCTAGCAACATATACATCTATGTCGTGGTGTTTACTACTATAGACTTTTTGAAAGCCTTGCTTTTATTGTGTCGTTCTTAAATCTGATAGTGAATTCAGAGGTGATTGCTATTGTCCTTACACTATCCTATGAAAAATGACTGACCTTCTGAATCCTTCCCTGCCCAGCATATAGCACTTTATGTCTATTTGCGTTCACCTGAGGCCCAGCAGTGTTTTATTTTGTATGTTGATCCAGGTACCCAGCCCTTTATGTAGGGATACTTTTGTGTGGGACCTATGCTTACTTTTGACTTAAGGTTTAGAGATGCAGTCATGATACATCAGACCAGTAAAATGGCAGGGACTCCAGGATTTTGGCGCCTTTCAATTGTGATGTATAATAAGGTGGTATTGGCAATTTTTGAGGAGCTCAGCTGAAGGTCGATAACCGGGGTGCCACATTCTTAAGTGTGTTCCTTACCTTGGTCAATCAGTCAGAGAGCCAAACCTGGTCTCGCCTACCGGAGAGGGACCACGTGTGGGGGGCTGTCACTGCTCCACCTGGTTCATCGCGTGGGGATTGGAGGGTCCCCCTGCTATCATGGCTGTGGGTCGCGGCGTTGTCATTGATTCACAAGTGCAGACGGAGGGGGTGCAGGGGGTGGTACGGTAAGCCGCATATACATGTGTGTTTTAGTGAATGGTCTAGGCTGGGCCTCGAATCACCGTATCTCGGTTGTGGCTGCCTCCTAGCTAACCCTGGGTTGAGCGTAGGCCAGTGCGGACGCGCAGGTGACGGATATAGTCCTCTGTTTAAACCTAACTGTGCAAACCCGCTTGTTCTGATTAAGGGCTTACCCTGCAACCGAAAGGAATTGAAAGTCCCATTCAAAAAAAAAAAAAACTGGCATCAACGCCACGCGCACTCACTGGGTCGCAGACTCCGAACAACTGACAGTACCAGTCAAGGCAAAGCTCACCGTATTTCCAGTTTTAATGTGTAGAAACCGAATATACACAACACACAATGTAGCACAAAAAGTGTAGTATGACTATTTCGTGACTGGTTGGCAATACCTTTCTACATGTTAGTTACAGATAAAACTACAGTGAGAAACAAAAATCTACCCAAATGTGGACGGTGGGGGACGTGGAGCTTACTACCGATGTATTAAGCTGTACGGTTGGTGCATAGCAATGTGACAAGACAGGGTGTACAACGTACTACAGTTGAAGAAAATGGGAGGCACTAGTGGCACGCCTAACGACAAGGTGATTGATAAAAAAACTAAAGGTGTACTGGACAGGAGGGGGTTAACAACCACCAACCATCCCACATGTGGGAGCGGCGGGTGCGTAAAGTATCAAAACTTGGAGGTCAAGCACTGACTACACCTGACAGATAGCAACAGGCTTGTAAGTTGGTGGAGTTGGTAGCACACGACGGTGCATTTATTTGACTGGTACGCGGGGGATTCTATAGATATGTACTGCGTGGAGGATCAAAAAACACTTCCAGTTTGCGTGTATCTCGGCTCCCCCCGGTTCACACGGATCCCAAGTAACGCATGAACAGTGATGATATTTTAGTGTCAGAAGCATAATATATTATTATAGAACAAACAACATAATAGGAAGAAAACTGAGATTTGGTTTCACAAGTTCAAGATGATATTTTCAATGTTTTTTTATCATGGTTCACTATGTGGTAACACATTGTCACTGTGTGTTTATTTGAGGTGAAAACACTGTGGGGATTCAGAATAGATATTCAGAGATTGTTCACTTCTTTGTTAGCCCATTACACAGTGTTCCATAAGCCAGACAAGGGAAACCATGGCCTGTGGCCGGCGTCCGTTTCGCTTCGAGCCTGCCTCGGGCCACATGTACCATCTTAAATCTGACCGGTCCATCCTTTGAGCATGCCTCAGCATCGTTGCCAAGTTAAATGAACTGTTGATCCAACGTCGAGGCTGCGGACATGGATAGGTGTCGAAGATCCTGGCGGAATGCCAAGCTCCACTATCATCTTGCCCATCAGTGCATTTGGGGAATGTTTGTCTAGAATCCGCAATTATACACTTATTGTATTTTTTTTTCCGGTGGCACTGTGCTTGGTCCTATTTAACGTTTAGCCTTTATATTCACATGACACCTTTCAATTCATCTATTTTGATTCAAAGAATAGTTTTTTCTTCCA